CGTGATTGAACCAAATCAAACATGAATAATTATATAGGACATACCACTACATGCTTATCTCGAAAACTCACGTTACACCTATCTAACCATACTTCAAGTAAGATTCATTTAAACACACAAGGAAACCAACCTGCAGCATACCTGTAGAAAATACAAGGATAAAAACCTCATCTGCATGTAAAAAAAAGACAAAAAGTAATGAAAGAGCTAATAACAGAAGAAAAAAGCCAACACACAGTAAGATCAGCTATGGCCACGGCAACAATGTGCTTCGCATGATTTGAAAATAAAGCATTCCTATGACTCTAGATACATAAAAAAGATCCAAAAATCCAGATTTCAAAAAAAGCCCTAGATAACAGCAAAGACGAAAATGCTCAGAAATTCAGAATATTTGGATAAGTTTTACAGAATTTATGTCCAGAAATAATACACATTATTTTACTCGCCCAAGCAAGGTGGAAATTCCACTATTATGCAGGGGGGGGGGTTACAGGGTGTGAAAGAGAGAGAAATTAATGAATATTGGGAGTGTTGAGGAAAAGACAAAAGTTGAACTGAATTCAAGAAGATAGTGATAAACGTCGCATTTAATTTTTTGAAGATTGTACTTATCAGGGAAGCAAGTAAACGGAAGGGAGTTTCACAGGCGGGAAGTGAAAAAAAAAAACTCATGGATTAAACGTTGCTGATGCATTTAGTCATTTCAGCAGTAAACGGGTGGGACCTAGATTCAAATCTAGTAACGCGCTTAAATTCATGTGAACACAAGAAAAATCAAAAAATAATCGTAATCGCAGTACTTTGCCAGGCGTCTTTAAATACTCTATATATATATATATATATATATATATATATATGTGTGTGTGTGTGTGTGTGTGTGTGTGTGTGTGTGTGTACAGGTTGCGATGGATAAATTGTCGTTGAAATGACGCAAGAATTTAAATTAACACTGAAATCTCATTTTAACAGATATATTTATCAGAATTATACAAAAATATCTTAGGATAATAAAGAGTAAATTTATTCCGTAAAACCTCTATTAGCTTCAACCACGCTCTCCAGACGACTTCGGAATCTCCTGTAACTCTTTTAGAGGGTTTCCTTTAAGTTGGTGAATGCTGCCATAATCATCACCAGGTCATCTTTGGTGTTAAAAGGAGTTTTCTTGGTCTCTCGCTTAACTGTGTCCCACACATGATAATCAAGGGGATTGCAATCTGGGGAGTTAGGTGACCAGATGTAAGGGGTGATTTGGTCGCAGAAATTGTCTAACAGTCATGATTGGGTACTCCTGCTTGTGGGCCATGGTGCAAAGTCGAGTTGCCAGAAATAGGGTCTTCTAGCAGCCGCCTACTTGACCCAGAACAGCACTACCTCCTCAAGGCACTTGATGTGGGTCTCCATGTTAAGTCTGAGGCTCTCACCAACAAATTCAGCTGTATTTTTTTTTTCTTATTTGAACGCTCAGAGTGAATTTTCCGAGGTGCCGTACCATAATAATTCCAAAATTTCAGTCGGAGTTAATTGCGCCATGTTGCTATTTTTTCTCATAGACGTTGCCCAACTGACCCTACTATACTCGACAAAATCAAAAGCAAACAACGCGCATGCGCGGAATTTAAAATGTAAAAGGCAACAATTTATCCATCGCACACTCTGCGCGCGTGCGCGCGTGTGTGTGTGTGTATGTGTGTGCGTGTGTGAGTGCGTGACTGTATTGAATACCAGCTCAATGTGTATACTGAATGCGTACGTGTCTAACAAATGCAAGAGTATCCTTGTATTTAATACGATGTTTCGTCCGCAAAAACAAACTTTAACATCCACCCGCATACGCCATCTTAAGATAGTGAAGCCGGAGAAAGATAATGAAGTCAGCCTGCCATTTTTGGCATTTTACCAGCTCCATTCAAAATCTTAGACATTCTAATACATTTTCCTCTGATTCCTATTTGCGCCAGGATAAAACACACTGGCACCGTTACCATGCACCTAATTGAAAATGGTGTTTTGCCTTCAGAAATTCTTTGACAACTTACACAAATCTCTTGGCAGAAAAGAAATCTTGCAGGAGATAACTGCATGCTGACTAAATTCAGCCATTTTATTTGTACAATTAGTTTGGATTTCAGAGTACAATTTCAAAGTGCTGTTCAATAGAGATAATCATGAAAAATTATATATATATATATATATATATATATATATATATATATATATATATACAGCGCAGATAAAGCAAAAAAAAAAAAGCTTTAGACAAAGCCAATACTTTAAACTGACACGTCTTCACCAAAGATATTCTATCTGGTGCCAAAATCTTTTGGTGGCGCCAGGGGTGGCAGTATCGCCTTAGCTACCCAAACTGTTACCTCCCCTGGTTATCCTCTGATGAAGGCAGGGTATGGCTCTTGCTTTCACACGCCGGATGTAGAAAAAAAACAAAGATAACGAAATTCGAAAGAAATTAAAATATATAAAATATCTAAATAAACAAATTACGTAAATAAAAAACAAATTAACAAACTATGACTGCACAGTAATATACAATTAAGTGTAATAATACAATTCAACAATAAATAATTAAGTAATAAATAGCTAATGATGTTAACAATGAACACTATAAAATAACTACAAATAACTGCATCCAGGTACACGATTATTTTTTACTCAAATAGGTCTACCCGATAACCGTTAGGATAATGCAATAAACAATAGTACCCATAATAAACCGTTGTTCAGCATATATAAATAGACGAGTAAAAAGATAGCCCACATTGCCGGGGGACTACTTTCAAGTATGAAACAGACAGTCGCTGCTCGATGTTGATCTTAGGGTCTTTTCTTATACTTACATACGCTCTATCTCTGAATATAGCATACCTTAAAGCTCTATTTTTTATCCAACATACACACGCACACACACAGACAAATATATATATATATATATATATATATATATATATATATATACCAAGTGTAACAGTAAAATTGGCCAAATCGTGCGACAGCAGAATTGTTCAACTGTTAGATTAACTTCTGAAACGTTGTATCTTAGAAATGATTAAAGATATCTTACTAGAATTTTCCGAAGTTTTTATAACACTACTGGATTCAACGTTGAGCAATAAGAATGTGCAATTACTCTTCAAACTTAACATACGAATCGTGATGAAATCGATCGTAAGCGAAAATGACATATACATATTCCAGGATCATTTTCCAACTTATTCAAGGTGTTTTCGCCCTATCTAATCTGCTAACTTTCTATCTTGGCGTAAGAAGATGTCTGACATGTTTCAGGTACGATGTCATTTTCAAGTATTTTTTTCACTGCTGTTTGGAATAATTAATCTAAGTTGAATAGCTAACAGCTCCAAGTTGAAATGATGATCCCTCTTGTGATTGTGACCTCCTGATCCAGTTTTCCTCTCTATTATTGGCCCCTTTTTTAAACGTATTCACCATTCCCTTGGACGTTGAAGATGAAAGCCAGAGTATGAATGTTGGTGGTACCATTATTTATGGATTGAATGATCTTTTTCCCTCTCACCATTGTTCAGTTGGAAAAACAGTGGGTCTGACACAAAACGATTTTAACCTGTTCTCTTTTTAGCTGAATAACTGAAATGGAGTTTTCAGTGATTCTTACAACAAAGATGGCTAAACATCTTATCTGAAAAACTGGTAAAAAGAAACAATTTGTTTAGTGGTTCTTTCATTATTACGCACTCTGTTGGATGGATCATTATGATGTTACATGATATATATATATATATATACACACACACACACACATATATATAAAAAAATAAAAAGACATTTTTTTATGTTTATACATTCTTTTTATAGATAAAAAATATTTAAGTAAATGCTCTGTTTATAATAGATAACATTTACCGGCCTGAATGTCCGAGAAATTTTCACAGAAAATATTCGTCCTCCGACAGGATTTGAACCTGTACCCTATACGGCACCGTCATTTAGCTTGACGTGCCTTTAACCGATTTGGCCACAGAGGAGCGTTCGGCCAGCATGGTCGAATTTACTGTATTTAAACTTAACAATCTTCCATGATTCTCTCATGTACATTCATATCTTCTCATGGCGTATCCAAATGTAAACAAATGACGTCACACTTTATGAAATGGACAAAGATACAAAATTTTTATGTTTATACATTCTTTTATAAACAGAGCATTTACTTAAATATTTGTATCTATAAAAAGAATGAATAAACATATATATATATATATATATATATATATATATATATATATATATAAAGCCAATATATGGATATAGATCCGACAGTATGAAGAAAAATATATCTTATATATTATATGTATTAATGTTAATATAAAGTCGATATTTTAGACCATCATATAAACATAATTTTATATGTTCTAATGTTAATTATGTTTAATGAATATGTCCTGATGATGGTCTAAAATAGACCGAAACCAATTTATATTAACATTAATACATATCCAGGTGAAGAAAAAAGATATATGGTGTAAGACTGATGTGCAATATTCCACCAAAATATGTAAAGATGAAATTCGTAAAAATCTGTTGATTATTTTATAATCCTGTTGACATTTCACTGGTTTTACGGGAGCATTATCTGTTATTGTTATGTAAGGAAATGTCGTTACTATGGGAACCTCAATACATAATGAAGTATTTGATCAATTTGAAAAAAAAAATTAACAGTTATTTTTTTTTTAAATATATCAATGAATATATCGTTCAATCAATCGATCAATCAATCAATATTTATAGTGTTTTGAAGATCAGCAGAAATACCTGAGTGTTTCCAGACGCATTGGTGAAAGAGAATTCTCCTCGTGATATTACAATGTATAAACGTTGATCGTGATAATACGGGTTTCACAAATAGCTCATCGGTAATAAAATAAATTAAAAGAAACAGACAAATCGTCTTATCAGCCGGAAGAAATTTTGATGAGAAAGAGAAATAGATTGGGACATCTATGATTTTAGAATTGGTACGCCGCTTCTGGATAATGTCAAAGACTTTTTCCTCTTCCTTCTTTTCCGGCTCTTCCTCGTTGTTGTTGTAGTTCTTACTTTTTCGTATTTTCCTTCATTTTTTTTTCTTTTCACGGTTTCGTTTACTTTTTTATTTTTTTTACATTTACCGCCAAAATATTCGTTTGTTCTTTCTTTTTATCTTTCTTTCGATCTTTCTTCCTATTTCTTCTCTTTCGTTTTTCTTTCATTTTCGCCATCTAACTTTCAGCTTTTTTTAACTCTTTCTTTTTAGTTCGTCCTTATTTTTCTCTTTACGTGTTTTCAATTTATTCCTCCTTCCATTTTTTTTCTTTATTTTCGACTTTCTTTGAATTCGTTTTATCTTTCATTTACTTGGTCGTTTGGTTTTCTTTCATTTCCCTCGCTTTCTTTTTTCACTTTTTCAACCTCCTTTTCCATATTTCTTTTATACAGTTTTTTCATCATTTCTTATTCTTTCTTTCTTTCTTTTTCCTTCCTTCTTTCTTTCTTTCTTTCTCCTTTCTTTCTTTCTTTCTTTCTTTCTTTCTTTCTTTCTTTCTTTCTTTCTTTCGAGCTGTCACCTCAGTTGTCTTTGAAACCACCGAAATTCTTTTTCTTTCCTTCTTTTTTCTTTCGTTTCTTTCCTTTCATACATACAATCATTCATTTATTCTTTATCTCTTTCCTTCTTTCTTTCTTTCTATATTTCCCTCTGCCTTTCAACTCCTTTTTTCTTTCTTCTGCGCGGTCTTATTCATCACTTTCTTTAATCTTACGTCCTTTATTTTCACCTTTACTTTTTCATCTGTGTTCACATCTTCTTTCTTTCTTTCTTTCTTTCTTTCTTTCTTTCTTCTTCTCCTTCTTCTTCTTCGTTTTCTTTTCATGTTCTTTTTCTTCTTCTTCTTCTTCTTCTTCTTCTTATTATTATTATTATTATTATTATTATTCTCTCTTCTTTTTTCTCTTTTCTTCTTTTTCTTCTCCTCTCTTCTTATTCCTTTTATTCGTCGTCTTCTTTTTCTCTTCTTCTTCTTCTTCTTCTTCTTCTTCTTCTTCTTCTTCTTCTCCTCTTTCTTTTTCTTCTTCCATTTCTCTCTTTCTTTCTTCTTGTTCTTCTTTTTCTTCTTTCTTCTACTACTTCGTCTTCTCTTTCTTTTTCTTCTTCCATTTCTCTCTTTCTTTCTTCTTGTTCTTTTTTCTTTTTCTTCTACTACTTCGTCTTCTTCTCTTTCTTTTTCTTCTTCCATTTCTTTCTTTCTTTCTTTCTTTCTTTCTTTCTTCTTCTTCTTCTTCTCTTTCTTTTTCTTCTTCCATTTCTTTCTTTCTCCTTCCTTTCCTTCTTTCTTCTACTACTCCTTCTTCTTCTCTTTTTTTCCTTCTTCCATTTCTTTCTTTCTTTCTTTCTTCTTCTTCCTTTTCTTCTTTCTTTTACTATTCCTTCCTCTTCTTCTCTTTCTTTTTCTTCTTCCATTTCTTTTTTCTTTCTTTCTTCCTCTACCTTTTCTTCTTTCTTCTACTACTCCTTCTTCTTCTTCTCTTTCTTTTTCTTCTTCTTCCATTTCTTACTTTCTTTCTTTTTTCTTCTTCTTCTTCTTCTCCTTCTTCTCTCTTTTCTTCTTCTCCTCCTCTTTTCTTCCATTTCTTTTTTCTTTCTTTCTTTCTTTCTTTCTTTCTTTCTTTCTTCTTCGTCCCTCTTTTCTTCTTCTTCTCCTCTCTTCTGCCTTTTCTTTTTTCTTCTTCTTTTCTTCTTCTTCTTCTTCTTCTTCTTCTTCTTCTTCTTTTTACTACTACTACTACTTCTTCTCTTTCTTTTTCTCCTTCCATTTCTTTCTTTCTTTCTTTCTTTCTTTCTTTCTTCTTCTATTTTTCTTCTTCTTCTCATCTCTTCTTCCGTTTCTTCTTCTTTTTATTTTCTTCTTCTTTTCTTCTTTTCTTCTTCCTCCTTTTCTTCTTTCTTCTACTACTACTACTTCTTCTCTTTCTTTTTCTCCTTCCATTTCTTTCTTTCTTCCTTTCTTCTTCTTCTTCTTCTTCTATCTTACTACTGCTTTTTCTCTTTCTTCTTCTTCTCCTTCTTACAACAGCACCAATATTTTTTCTTCTTTGCTATGTAATGACTCATTGTCCGAATAAGATTAAGGGCCATTGTTATCTGGAGGTAAACATTTCGTATAAAATCTGTTTTGTGTTAAGTGAAAAATGAAACGTTGGTGAAGAATAAGAACAAAGACTCGTTATCTATTAAACAAACATTCAACATCTGTTGTCTTATTGCTGGAGTTCTTCGAAAAAATACAAGATGCTACTAAAATCCGCATCACTCAAACAACCCTACCCACCTTATTTCGAATTTGGTTAACCGAAAATATATGTATGTTTAGTTACGTGAAAAATTCAAATTCAATGCCATATTCTTGACAATTGTTTACAAGGGTTGGATGATTGAGTGATTATGAATATAATAAGATTTCACTTTCTTTTTTCTTTTTATGTGCCGTGTCCTTTCAGGACGTAGGCGATCATGGCTCTCCACTTCATCCTATCCCTTACAGCTCTCAACAATTTCCTTCCATCTGCCCCCCCCCTCACGGGACCACATTCTGTCATCCCCTTGCTTAAACCCGCACGTGTTGTTTTCCCTTGTCTCTCCTTTCCTCTATTCGACCCATGGCTATCAGATTCTCCAGGCCTTCCTTCCTCATTATGTGTCCCATAAACTTCAACTGCCTCTTCCTGATGTTAAGTATAAGCCTCCTCCTTGTTTGGATCTTCTCTAAGACCTCATCATTGCTTACATGCTCTGTCCATGATATACTTGCCATCCTTCTGTAGAACCACATCTCCGTCGCTTCGACTTCCTTCTTTATTTTCACTATTAACGGTTAATAGAATTTACAGAAATCCCTTAAATTGAGACGCATCTAGGTACTGGGGTAACCGTTTGCACGGTTATTTTGGTTGCCCATTAGAAGTGAATTTGGTACTTAGTTCTTCCTGCAAAAAATTCCACGTTAAATAGCTAAAGAGGTGTTCATATGTCAAAATGTCGACCACTCTCGCCTGACATGTGATAGAGTCAAATATGCGTTTGTGTATGGGGTGGTTTTCTAAGCGTAACTTAGATGTGGCACAACTTTTACTTTTACATTTTTTCTAATGTCGCATGTCTTCAACGAAGCTGGCCATGGCTCCCCATGTCTGTGAAATGATACAAAATATTTTGAAAGATAGTGGACATTTCTCCCGTAGACTTTGACACGTTTTTGTGCACATCACATTCTTTTCTGGACTGGTGGGACACATCGGTGGGATTTAATGCTTACCAAGCTTGTCACGCCGTAATAGTTACGGCCGGAAAGTGAGTTCGATCCTCACTGTGTGCCGAAGACATTCGCCCTTTTTCCATATCTAAGCTATGCTTAAAAAAACAGTATTATTTTATGAACTGACGTACTTTTACATTTAGGCAGAACACTCTCCCCGGCTGGTGGAAGCGAAGACATTGGTTCATGCTTTTCGCAAGGGCAAATGTGCAACGTCGAACATAACAGACTGGGCTGGGATTCGAACTCAGTTCACCAATTCCATTTTCTCCATCGACTACTTCCAACACGTACATCCGTACATATTTTGTGCCTAAAAATCTTATAAAGCAAGCACAGAATAGTATCTAATAGTAAGAAATAATAGTAAGTAATTGTAATGAAATGTTATGATTGTTATTGTTATTTAAGTACATTGTTTTTTTAAACAAACTTATTTTATGGTTAAGAATTTTTTTTTTTTAAGCATTTCACCCCAAGCAAGCCGGGGAACCACTAGGACGCAAGGGGTTACAGAAAATATAGTGCGAGATCAGATAGGAGTGATAGAAGAGGGTATGAGGAGAAGGGTAGTGGATAGATCAAGGCAACTGGAGATGTCGATTGACATTACACTTGAATAGCTTAGATTATAGCTCTCAGGGAAACTGGAATAGGGAAGGAGTTCCAAAGGCGAGAGGTGCGAGACATGAAGCTATTAGAGTAGAAGAGACGGCTACATTTAAGAGTTTCGACAGTGAAGGGTGAGAGCGGGATGCCAGCCTCGTGAGGGCGCTTGAACTCATGAAATCTGGGAACCAGCGAATGCAGCATCTCCGAGCAATTACCATGAAAGTATTTGTAGAACAGACAGAGGGAGGCGATTGCGCGTCTGTGAGAAAAGACTGTAGACGAGATGCCAGAACAGAGCCAATTATATTGCATATCCGCCTCTGGAGCCTATCAAGAACCCTGAGGCAAACAGAAGGGCACCAGACCATATGGCAGCAATACCCATGCAAGGGCGCATTGTTGATTTGTAGATCTGGAGGATCGATTCCTGAAGAAAAAAAATCGCGGCATTTCCAACTTTCCTTGCGGTGGACGAGGCAAAACCAGACTCAATGTATTTGTTCCATCTCAGGTCAGCAGTCAACGTGAGACCGAGCAAAGAGTTTCATCTTTTATATTATATATATATATATATATATATATATATATAAATAAAAAGAAAGAACAGTAAGATATAAAATCCGGTGTTCTTATAGATATTTTATTTTTACAAAATAGTGCTCAATGTAAATTTACAGAGCATTAATATTATAAATTAATTGATTTAAAATATGGTTATTTTCGCTACACAGTTCCAACCATGTTTCAAAAATAGAAGCTAAAAACCCCTAATTTTATTTTTGCAAATAAATTAAAAGCATTAGTTCCATTTCATCTTCAAGCGAATTTTGGAGTAACTTTTAAAATTTACCGGGTTTTAAATACACAGCTAAAATCACGTTTCCATGGTTACATAATATTCTACTCAAATTGAACACGGGGTGTCTAGATTTTCCTTATGACAGTATCATTGTATCAGTTATTAGCTACATTTTGGTAAGGGGTGAGGATGTATTTTACACTGAAACCTGACGTCAGTTGAATGGATGTCGTCTGAATTTAAAAAAAAAAAAAAAAATTGTTAACGGTAAAAAATTTTCAACGTCCTCTTTTAAAATTAAAGATTTTTTTTTTTTTTTTTGTACTTTTATTTAACTACGATTTGAAATATTTTCCTTTTTAATTTTTATTTTACTATATTCTTTTTAAGAACAGTTAAATGTATTAGAATCCATTATATTATGTAGGATTATTTTAACATTAAGTTTAAGTATGTATATGAGGTTACATTTTTTTTTTTTTTTTTTTTGTATATGACTATGACAGCAGAAATGGTTACTTAATTTCACTGATTCAGTAAACTTTTCTTTTATATATAAACCTATTATTATAATATTTCACATGTAAGTACTGAGGACATGGGTCATTCAAAAAGCTTACATGTTATGGTATTTCATATTAATTTTATTTTACTATAGGTGTTATTTTTGGATTCTTTTTTTAATGCGTGTAGTATTATTTAAAAGAAATTTAGGTTAGAATTCATTCAATTTAACTACAATTTTAATTACAAATTCAAAATTACAACTTTTAAAATTTTAAAATATTTTCATTGTTTAGTTTTAATAGACTATATTACTTTATAACAGAAGGAAAATTACTCATATTAAGTAAGATTATTTTTCCATATCAAATATATATAAATTTTTTTTTTTTTTTTTTTCAAATTTAAATATTATTTAAGTAATATTAATGGCACTTACTACAAAACTAGCTAAGTCATTTCTCAGATTTAAAACTTTATTTATTTATTAATTAATTAATTTATTTATTTCAAATATATGTAACCTAATTAATAAAGTTTCATATGTATGTATAAATAACATGTTAGAATTCATTTTATTTTACTACAATTTTAATTTCAATTTTAAAATTATAACTTTAAAATTTTAAAATATTTTCATTGTTAGTTTTAATTTAGACTATATTACTTTATAACAGAAGGATAATTACTCATAGTAAGTAAAAAATTTTTCATATCAAAGTATATGTAAATTACAATTTTAAACTTTTAATTTAATATTATTTAATAATATTAATGGCCCAGACTTATCTAAGTCATTTCTCAGAATTAGTAAACTTTATGTATTAATTCAAGATGGAAGTATGTATATGAGGTTACATTTTTTTTTTTTTTTTATATATATATAAACCTAGTGATATAATGTTTCTCATGTAATACAAAATTTCATGGGTCATTCAAAACGCTTACATCTTATGGCATTTCATATTAATTTTATTTTACTATATTTGCTTTTTTGGGATTCTTTTTTTAGTGCGTAGTATTATTTAAAAGAAATTTAGGTTAGAATTCATTCAATTTAACTTTAATTTTAGTTTCAATTTTAAAATATAAACTTTAAACTTTTTGAAATATTTTCATTGTAGTTATATTAGACTATATTACTTTATATTACTCATAGTATAAAATTATTTTTCAATATCCAAGTATATGTAAATTACAATTTTTAAACCTTTATATTTTAAAATATTATTTTAGTAATATTAATGGAACTTACTACAAAATTAGCCAAGTCATTTCTCGGATTTAGTAAACTTTATTTATTAAATTTATTTATTTATTTTAAATATATGTAACCTAAGTAATTTTCATATGTATGTACCAAGAACAGGTTATTGTTCATTTTATTTAACTATATATATATATATATATATATATATATATATATATTGATGCATGTTTCATTAAATAATATAGACAAGTTTGTCTTTTAAAATCTTTCACTCTGCAACAAAAATAGACTATCATTATTGTTTTGACCATCTATTGGTTAATATGTTGAAATGTAATTGTCGTTTTGATAATGGCTTATGTAAGCCGAAAGCTTAGATAGGATTAAAAAAACATATATCAATATGGTGATTTTCTTTCGTCTTTTAATGATAACGTTACTAAGCTTATCAGACAATATGAAAGGAATTTACTTAAAATAAATAGACAAAACTTGTGTATATTATTTAATGAAACATGCGCTAATGAAAAATGCTGCCTAAATACACAATATATATATATATATATATATATATATATATATATATATATATATATATATATGACGTCACACACTACAGAATGGACAAATTCCGACAATTATTTTAATATAATATTTTTTTAATATTTTAATAAATTTTATTTTT